GTGTTTAACATTTGTGTTGATAAATGTCGGAAACCTGTAACTATTGACTTGCATAGTACTTTGTTTTCATACAATAGAAGTCAATAGTTACCGGTTTTCAGCTTTTTTGGGTTTAAGTTCAACAAATGTGTTGAAGAATGTTGGAAACCTGGTCAATGGTTACCGGTTTTCGGCTTGCTTTAAAATATCTTTTTTTTTGGTTCAACATTTGTGTTGAAGAATACCAGAAACCTGTAACCATTGACTTGCACTGTATTTGGTTTTCATACAATAGAACTCAATGGTTACCAGTTTTCGGCTTGCTTCAAAATGTCTTTTTTTTTTTGTTTAACAGATGTGTTGAAGAATGCCGGAAACCTGTAAACATTGACTTGCACTGTATTTGATTTTTATACAATGGAAGTCAATGGTTACCGGTTTTCGGCTTGCTTCAAAATATTTTTTTTTTTGGTTAAACATTTGTGTTAAAGAATGCCGGAAACCTGTAACCATTCACTTGCACTGTATTTGATTTTCATACAATGGAAGTCAATGGTTACCGGTTTTCGGCTTGCTTCAAAATATTTATTTTTTGGTTCAACATTTGTGTTGAAGAATGCCGGAAACCTGTAACCATTCACTTGCACTGTATTTGATTTTCATACAAGGGAAGTCAATGGTTACCGGTTATCAGCTTGCTTCCGACATTCTTCAAAAAATCTTCTTTTGTGTTCAACAGCAAATGAAACTTAAACAAGTGAAAGAACAAATGGCTGTCCTGATAACGTAATAATAATACAAATGAACGAGCTTGTGAAATGTACACATTAAAGAAGCATTTGTGCTGATTCTTAAAGGGACAGCTCACACAAAACCGAAAACTTTGTCATCACTTGGTAATCATGCACTTGTATGGATTTCTTCTGTTGAACAAAAAAAGAAGATATATTGAAGAATGTCAAAAAACGGTAACCATTGACTTGCATTGTATTTGGCTTTCCTACTATGGAAGTCAACAGAAGAAACAAACTCAAAGGTTTGAACCTAGTAAAGAGAGAGTAAATGATGACAGAATTTAAATTTTTAGACAAACTATACCTTTAAATCTGTTTATCATGCAACTCCGGTTGTTTCTTCATGTTATATTTGGCGTTTTCGCACAAGAGCGCCCTCTGGCTTTCAGAAGAATTACTGCTGCTCACACAACCATGCTTCCCTAACAAGATGCGCATGAGAATTGCAGATTTTCGATCAACTCGGTGCGATACAAAAAGTATAAAGCATCAAAAAAAACACTCATATTTTATTATTAAGCGCCAACATTCATTTAAGATAATTGTCACATCCATCAGGGACCACCTGAGGGCGCTGTAGTGCATCAGGACTCAGATAGCACTACAGCGTCCCAGAAGAACTACAATCCCATACATACCACGCGCATACACCGGAACACTTACACTGACCCGTCATCTGTTCTGTGTTACCGTTGATTATCTCGACTATTTATACTACCATTCCACCTCTGTTTATGATCGCGTCGTTTGTCTACCTCGTCTCTCTTGTCTCCAGTTCCAGTAAGTCTGATATTCCGAATTGTTATTCCTGATCTTGTTTTTGTATTTTTTGCTAAAGTCTAGTTTGTAGAGTTCTTGTTTCTGAGCCTTGTCTCTGTTTTAGTTTCTGGTTTTGTCGTTTGTTTGTTTCACTGTAAATAAATATCTGCCCTTGGATCCGCACCTTTTTGTTTTTGCTCTGTTTTGATCACGCTAACGTGACAATAATAGAATAATATTGTTTTCAGTAATATTCAATAATACAAATTTTAATTATTATTACTAATGATATTAATACTTTTATTATTACTGTTATTAAGAATAACAATATAATGAAATGCTAATTTTAACTATTTACTAGTATTCGTTTTACTAATATTTTATATGGAGATGCTTTGAAAAATGTTCAAGCTGCTGTTTTCCAATAGGAAATGGGCAGTCAAGCTACAAAAAGGTATTTTCATGAAACTTGCGTAGTTTTTTTTTTTTTTTGCAAAAAAATTGTTGTCAAACACTAAAAGCAGTTTTAATAAAATAGAATAGTAATAATAATAATTATTATTATAAATATTAATTATCATGAATATTAATTGTTATTATTAATGATAATAACATTATTATTTAGAATAAATATATAGCAAAACTGCTACTTATATCTATTTACTAATATTTGCTTTTTTTACTAATATTTTATATGGAGATGCTTTGAAAAATGATCAAGCTGCTGTTTTCCAATAGGAAATGGGCTGTCAAACTACAAAAAGGTATTTTAATTAAAACTTTCATAGTTTAGTTTTTTTTTTTGCAAATAATTTGTTGTCAAAAAACACTAAAAGCAATATTAATAAAATAGAATAGTAATAATAATTATTATTGTTATGAATATTAATTATCATGAATATTAATTGTTATTATTAATGATATTAACATTATTATTAAGAATAAATATATAGCCAAACTGCTACTTATAACTATTTACTAATATTAATTTAAACTAATATTTTATATGGAGATGCTTTGAAAAATGATCAAGCTGCTGTTTTCCAATAGGAAATGGGCTGTCAAGCTACAAAAGTATTTTATAAAGTTGCATATAGTTTTTTTTTTTTTTTCGAAAAAAGTGTTAAAAAATACTAAAAGCAATTACAATAAACTAGAATAATAATAATAATTAGGGATGTAACGGTATTGTAAATACCGTCATACCGCAATATTAATTTTTTTCGATATTACCGAAGTCGCATGACTCGGTAAAACTATAGGTCTTCTGAGAAAATTTGCTTAGGCGAATGAAGCGAACGGGAGGTACCGGAAACTACAATACCCATCAGCCCATGCTTGACCTGCATCCCTTGCGGTCTGTTGTCGCTACAGATCCAGTAATGCGGAAATGGAGTGTGCTGCTAGAAGCGGGGATGAAAAGAGCTGGAAAACTCTAAGGCCCCGTTTACACTAGTGCGTTTTAGTTTGAAAACGCATAAGTTTTGCTACGGTTACGCCAACCGTCCACACTACGCCGGAGTTCTCGAGCGCCGAAAACGGAGCGTTTCGAAATGTGTGGATAATGTCTCAGTGTGGATGATGGAAAACGGAGACATCTGAAAACGCAGGCGGGGCTGCAGACGTTCGCCTCTCTGATTGGGGCTTTTCCTGAATATTAAGTAGCCTAACACGCACTGTTCAGTCCTGCATCCTCTCCTTGTAAGTTCAGACTTCGCAAGTTTGATCAAGGCTGCAGTCTCTTCTTCTCAGTTTGATATGGAAAAGCAGACTATACCGAGGACACGGGTAAATCTTCAAAGGGAACAGTGTACTTTATAACTTCATTCACATCACCCTGGCTTCGTTGTTTCACTTTATCAACAATAAAATGTAAACATGATTTAAGGAACTGCCTATTTTCATTTTAATATTAGCAACTTAAGACAGCAGACATGTTGAGGCGTCGTGCTGCATAAGATGAGCGTCATCTTCACTGTGTGGATATTTATAACAAAACGGAGCCGATAACAACTGCCTCCTTTCAATTTCAGTGAAAATACGAAACATACCCTCTCTTTGGCTGAGTATCAGTTTTAATAATCGATAATGGCCATTTTAAAAGTATAACATACAATAAGTTTATACATTATAGGAAATAAAGGCAAGCGATCAGTCAATATACAGAATGTACGTGGTTACATTAATCATTAACTTATCTTTGCGCTCAGCCAAAACACGTTACCTGAGAACAAGTAATAGATTCTAATGCCCAAAGTCAGGGAATATGTCGTTAGATAAAGACAACAAGATGAATGAAATATCCCGTTTAATAAATATAGTGAGATTAGATCCAGCGGGAGATGCTTGATGAGAAGTCCGACTAGCAGAGCTCTCATCTGGGTAGATGGGCTGAGTGTGATTAAATGTTGAATGTGATGAGTTTTCAACAATACTAAATTGAAACTTTATTGTTTTTACATGGTTTAATAATTTTTTGTTATTAAAATTGAAGTTCCTGTTTCAAAGCTTACAGATGGCTAATTTGTATGTCATTGACACTTTTGGCACTTTTTTGGAGTATTTTCATAAGTTTTGTTTTTTCCTGTAAATGATTCAATAAATACCGTACCGTGACATTCATACCGAGGTATTACCGTACCGTGAAATTCTGATACCGTTACATCCCTAATAATAATTGTTATGAATATTCATGATTACGAATATTAATTATTATTAATGAATGATATTACTATTATTATTAAGAAGAAGAAGCAGAATATAGCAAAAGTGCTACACTTAAGTATTTATTCTTTTTACTAATATTTTATATGGAGATACTTTGAAAAATGTTCAAGCTGGTGTTTTACAATATAAAAGGGCTACAAAAAGGTATTTTATATACGTGCGTATAGTTTTTTGTCAAGAAATACTAAAAGCAATTATAACTAAACGGCATAATAATCATTGTTGTTATGAATATTAATTATTATCACTAATGATAATAATACTATGCACATGGTTCTTAAAGGGACAGTGCACACAAAACTGAAAATTGGTCATAAGAAATGGTTATTTGTTCACCCCTGACTTTCTTTTGTTGAACACAAAAGAAGATACTTTGACGAAAGTCAGAAACTGGTAACCATTGACTTGCATTGTCTTTGGTTTTCCTACTATGGAAGTCAACAGAAGAAAGAAACTCACAAAAGTTGAACCTAGTAAAGAGAGTAAATGATGACAGAATTTTAATTTTTAGATGAACTATTGACTATTAAATCTTCTGTTTATCATGCAACTCCGGTTGTTTCTTCATGTTATATTTGGCGTTTTCGCACAAGAGCGCCCTCTGGCTTTCAGGAGAATTACTGCTGCTCACACAACCATGCTTCCCTAACAAGATGCGCATGAGAATTGCAGATTTTCTCAATCAGATTTGCGATTCAATTTCGATCAAACAACTCGGCGCGATACAAAAAGTACATAACATCAATACAAACACTCATATTTTATTATTAAGTGCCAACATTCATTCAATATATTAGAAAAAACAACACGTGGAGAAACAAAAGCTGATATCAAGTTACACGGTTTAGCGTAATGAGTTCGCATGAATAATATTTGTACATTTACACAATAAACAAAAGCCCTCGGACGACAACGGGAGCGAGGATGGACTCAAACAAAGACAAAAAACACAGGAATACGCCACTTATTTAAAAAAAACAAAGATGCATAGCGTAATCGGCTGCCGGACAAACAGCAGCCTGGTGTGTTTTGGGTAAATCTGCAGCGCTGAATGATTGTCGAGCTGCTGGTTTCTGGATTATCGTATTTCAGACCACCTTCAGTGGATTTTAGGGGGGAATACAAAAAACTCAATCGTGAAAGAGTGTGTGTGTTTGTGCAAAGATGCAAAAATACTGCAGACTTCAGCTGCCTGAGACTCGTGGAATGTGTGTGTGTTTGTGTGTGTGCGCTCACGCTTATGGGGAATGTGCATGCGTCCCTATACGAGTGTGTGTGAGAAAGAGAGAAATCTGAAGCGTCTCCTCGCTCCTGAAGTTGAAACACACACACACACACAGTCCTGCAGGAAGGTAAAAGAAGTGTGGTATAAAACAGTGTCACTCCTCCTCACGTCTGATGTTGCTCTCCTCCTCTTTTCCCTTTTTCATCTCTCAGGAAGGGATGGACGGCCTCTCTTTCTCTCTCTCTCGCCCTCTATTTGGAGAGTTTGCTGATGACTCTGATGAGAGCACCGTTTTCATCCTTCAGCCGCTGGTTATCTGCTCTCAGATCTCCTAAAACCTGCACAACACACACAGAGAGAGAGAGAGGGAGAGGGAGAGACGCTCTTTATCTCCATCTGGTTAGTTTTACCTCCATCATTTAAAGAGACAGTTCACAGTAAATAGTCAATTGGGCATCTGGCACCTTTTCTCTACGGAAAACAAAAGGAGAAGCTTTGAAAAATGTTCAAGCTGCTGTTTTCCAATAAGAAATGAGCTTTCAAGCTACAAAAAAGTATTTTAATGAACTTGCAGAAAAAAATAATAACAATAATAATAATGATTAATATGAATATTAATTATTATGAAATTATTATTAGTATTATTAAGATGAAGAAGAATACAAAATAAATGCTATTTTTTACGGTTTACTATTATTTACTCTTTATGCGAATATTTAATATGGAGATGCTTTGAAAAATGTTGCTGTTTTCCAATAGAAATGGGCTGTCAAGGTAGTGTGTTTTAATGGACTTGCGTAGAGTTTTTTTGTGGAAAAAAGTGAATTGTTAAAAAAAATACTAAGAGTACTAACATTAAAATATAATATTATTAATAATAATAATAATATTATATATTAGTTGTTATGAATATTAATTATTATTATAACTGATATTATTATTATTATTAAAAAGAAAAATATAACAAAAGTGCTACGCTTAAGTGTGTATTCTTTTTACTAATATTTTATTTGGAGATGATTTTAAAAAAGTTCAAGTTGCTGTTTTCCAATATGAAAGGGCTACAAAAAGGTATAATACAAATAATACAATTATTATTATTATTATTATTATAAAAAATAATATAACAAAACTGCAGTTGACCATTTACTAATATTTACTCTTTACTAATTTTTTATATGTAGATTCTTTGAAAAATGTGCAAGCTGCTGTTTTCCAATAGGAAATGGGCTGTCAAGCTACAAAAAGGTATTTTAATGAACTTTTTTGAGAAAAAAATTAATTGTCAAAAATATGAAATAGCAAAGATAATAAAACAGAATAATAACAATTTAATGATATAATTGTTATGAATGTTAATTATTTTGAAAAATAATAATGACTAATTACACTATTATAATTAAAAACACTAATATAACAAAACTGCGACTTTTAACCATTAACTAATATTTACTCTTTTACTAATATTTTATATGGAGATGCCTTGATAGGGCAACAAAAAGGTATTTCATAAACTTGCAAAATTGTAACGGTAATAAGTAATAATAATTTATTTAAAACAAACTAAACAAAACACACACACACATGCAGTTGAAGTCAGAATTATTAGCCCCCTTTTGAATTTTTGTTTCTTTTTAAAATGTTTCCCAAATAATGTTTAACAGAGTGAAGAAATTTCCACAGTATGTCTGATAATATTTTTTCTTCTGGAGAAAGTCTTATTTGTTTTATTCAGGCTAGAATAAAAGCAGTTTTTATTTTTTAAAATCCATTTTAGGGTCAATATTATTTCCCTTTATTTTATTTTCGATAGTCTACAGAACAAACCATTATTATACAATAACTTGCCTAATTACCCTAACCTGCCTAGTTAACCTAATTAACCTAGTTAAGCCTTTAAATGTCACTTTAAGCTGAATAGAAGTGTCTTGAAAAACATCTAGTCAAATATTATTTACTGTCATCATGGCAAAGATAAAAGAAATCAGTTAATAGAAATGAGTTATTGAAACTATTATGTTTAGAAATGTGCTGAAAAAAAATCTCTCCGTTAAATAGAAATTTGAGAAAAAATAAACAGAGGGGCGAATAATTCTGACTTCAACTGTATATATGCTCCTTTTAACTATTATAATCACTTTATATCGAGTTAATATTGTTTTCATTTCAAGTCTGTGTACTCATTTATGTATTTGTTATTGGTGATCTGGAAAAGCTTTCAATCCCAGTGCAACATGGCCTCCAGAACATCATGCAGGTTTGCAGACCCATAAAGGAGAATGAACAATGACAGAAGTGACATTTTTAGGTGAACTGTCCCTTTAACGCTCCCAAGCAGGCATGATATGACAGGTTTACTCAGAGGCATTTTTTTCCTGTCCCTCATAACATTAAAAACACTTTGCGACGGTGAAGCCAGAACACACTGTATCTGATGCTTACTGTGCAGGAGCTGGTTAGTCTGGTTTGACCCGTGTGACAAGTATTAAAGTTATAGTTCACTTAAAAATGATAATTAGCTCAGTATTTTCTCTCCCTCAAGCAATTCCAAACCTTTATGAGTTTCTTTCTTCTACTGAATACGCTTCTACTGGTAGCCATTGACTTCTATAGTAAAAAAAAATACTATGGAAGTCAATGGTGACCGGTTTTGAACATTCTTCAAAATATCTTCTTTTGTGTTTAATGAAAGAACGGAATGATTGGGTGAACTGTTTTCCTCTAAGAACTACATTCACAACACTTTAGATGACAGAAATGCTTCAGTCGCCTCTGAACCAATCAGCATCCACAGCCGAGTGGAAGAGCCAATGAAAGCAGTGCTCACCTTTAGCTCCTCCTCCAGCTCAGCAGCTCGTCTCTCCAACATCTTCTTCTCCTGAAGGACACAAGATTAAACACATCAATACAAGCAAAACTGAGTGTTTATCAAGTGTTTTAATGTTCACTAAACGCACCTTCTTCTCCATTTCCAGCAGGGCCGTGCAGTCTGTGAATCTCTCCTGCCTCTGTCACACACACAGGAAATATAGAGACAAATATTACATGAAAATGTACCAATGGCAGACTTTCTAGAGCACTCGAGTACAGTCACTCAAACATGAAAAAATGACAGCTGTCTTCAAAAACTGTGTGTGTGTGTGTGTGTGTGTGTGTGTGTGTGTGTGTGTGTGTGTGTGAGATCATCAGAATGAAGACAAAGAGAGTGAAGTAAGGACATTTTAGCCACTTATTTTCTGGCATTTCTTTATAGGGCAGTTTGAGGATTAATAATTAGTTTTAGGGTCAAGGCTAAGGTTAAGCTTAGTTTAGTTTATGTTCTGGCGCTTGTTGTGATGTTATATCATGAAATATGAAATAATATTGTGTTTTCCAGCAGTGGAAAATGTTGAATATAAACAAAACACAAAAACAAATGTGTGTGTAATGTAATGTCCCCATAATTCACAAAAAACAAACGTGTGTGTAATGTAATGTCCCCACAATTCACAAAAACAAACGTGTGTGTAATATAATGTCCCCACAATTCACAAAAACAAACATGTGTGTAATGTAATGTCCCCACAATTCACAAAAACAAACGTGTGAAATGTAATGTCCCCACAATCCACAAAAACAAACGTGTGTGTGTGTGTAATGTTATGTCCCCACAATTCACATAAACAAATGTGTGTGTGTGTGTAATGTTATGCCCCCACAATTCACAAAAACAAACGTGTATGTAATATAATGTCCCCACAATTCCCAAAAACAAACGTGTATGTAATATAATGTCCCCACAATTTACAAAAATAAACGTGTGTGTAATGTAATGTCCCCACAATTCACAAAAACAAACGTGTATGTAATATAATGTCCCCACAATTTACAAAAATAAACGTGTGTGTAATGTAATGTCCCCACAATTCACAAAAACAAACGTGTATGTAATATAATGTCCCCACAATTTACAAAAATAAACGTGTGTGTAATGTAATGTCCCCACAATTCACAAAAACAAACGTGTGTGAAATGTAATGTCCTCACAATTCACAAAAAACAAACGTGTGTGTAGTGTAATGTCCCCACAATTCACAAAAACAAACGTGTAATGTCCCCACAATTCACAAAAACAAACGTGTGAAATGTAATGTCCTCACAATTCACAAAAAACAAACGTGTGTGTAATGTAATGTCCCCACAATTCACAAAAACAAACGTGTGTGTAATGTAATGTCCCCACAATTCACAAAAACAAACGCGTAATGTCCCCACAATTCACAAAAACGAACGTGTGTGTAATGTAATGTCCCCACAATTCAAAAAAACAAACGTGTAATGTCCCCACAATTTACAAAAACAAACGTGTGTGTAATGTCCCCACAATTCACAAAAACAAACATGTAATGTCCCCACAATTCACAAAAACAAACGTGTGTGTAATGTAATGTCCTCACAATTCACAAAAACAAACGTGTGTGTGTAATGTAATGTCCCCACAATTCACAAAAACAAACGTGTAATGTCCCCACAATTCACAGAAACAAACGTGTAATGTCCCCACAATTCACAAAAACAAACGTGTAATGTCCCCACAATTCACAAAAACAAATGTGTGTGTAATGTAATGTCCCCACAATTCACAAAAACAAACGTGTGTGTAATGTAATGTCCCCACAATTCACAAAAACAAAAGTGTGTAATGTAATGTCCCCACAATTCACAAAAACAAATGTGTGTGTAATGTAATGTCCCCACAATTCACAAAAACAAATGTGTGTGTAATGTAATGTCCCCACAATTCACAAAAACAAATGTGTGTGTAATGTAATGTCCCCACAATTCACAAAAACAAACGTGTGTGTGAATTATGATTGTGTATGTGCATTTATGATTGTGTGTGTGTGTGTGTGTGTGTGTGTGTGTGTGTACCTTTGTGGCATTCTCCAGCTCCACTCTGGTGAGTGAAATCGTTCTCTGTGTGTCTGATAGCTGCGACTGCAGACGCCGGTTCTCCCTGGACATCTCCTCAAACAACTAAAACACACACACATTACACAAACACACACACACACACATTATAAACAAATGCATAGCCCCTAAACACAAATAAAAAAAGTGCAAACACACTCACACACAGACAGCAAATATAGATGCACAAATAGACAAGTGCAGACACACACACACACACACACACACACACACACACACATACACATACACACACAGCGCTCAGACCTTCTTGAAGTCTCTGGAATCGGCTCCTCTGGTGAGAATGCAGTCATTCAGGAGAGAGTCAGCCCTGAGAGGAAGGAAAGTCGGAGAAAATGAGACAAACACACACACACATAAATCAACACACAGAAAGGTCAGAGGTCAGACTCATACCTGCTGCTCGTGTGTCTGTCTGTCTGCACGAGGGAAACACAGCCACATTTCACAGGTTAGAGATTAAATATATATAAACCCACTCATACAAAGAGGAAGAAGAGATTCACACACAGATAATATATACACACAGACACACAACACAACACAACACAACACAACACAACACAACACAACACAACACAATCAATTATTTTAAAGTGCGTGCTGATTGGTCAGACCTGTGGTTCCCGCCCACCACTGCTCTCCTCTTCTCCACTGGGCTCGTTGTCGTCGCTCTGAAAACACAGAGGTAAAGGTTGAGATCCTGTGTGTGTGTGTGTGTGTGTGTGTGTGTGTGTGTGTGTACTTTTGTTAATATTATTCACCTCTCCTGGTTTTCCTCTTCTGCGAGCTCGTGTTTTCCTACGCTCTAGCATTCGCTCCTCAATGTCTGCCACAATGCTGTCTGCATCTGACACACACAAAGACAAACACACGGACACACACAAAGTCAAGTACATGGAAACACACAAACACGGACACACACAAAGACAAACACACACACACACATAACAGACATGAAAACAATACACAGACACACAAACACACACACACAAGAGAAACATGAAGATACGCACGCACACATGTGCGCACACACGCACTCACACACACACACACACACACACACACACACACACACACACACACACACACACACACACAGTGTCAAACAGGTCTTCAGTGTGTGTTTGAGGACAGCCGTGATATGGGTCTGAAGGTCACCTGGTCTGTCTGGACGTGGAGCTCCAGGAGGGTGTGTGAGACCCAGCAGATCTGACTTCTGTAGATTAGCGATTCGAGAACGCCAGCTCACCTCCTGCACGCACACACATTACACACATATAAATATATATATATATACAGTATGTCACAAAAGTGAGTACACCCCTCCTGCTTCTGCAATTATTTATTCATAACTTTTCATAGGACAACACTGCAGAAATGACTCTTTGATACAATGAAAAGTAGTCAGTGTAAAGTGTGTATAGCAGTGTAAATGTATTGTCCTCTCAAAACAACAACAAATACAGCCAATAATAACTAAAACCCCGGCAACAAAAGTGAGAACGCCCCTAAGTGAAACTTTCAAAATTGAGCACAATTAATCATTTTTCTCCCCCTGTGTCATTTAATTCATAAGTGTTACACTTTTCTGTAGACATACTATATATATATATATATATATATATATATATATATATATATATATATATATATATATATATATATATA